ATGGATGGATGGACCCATGATGGACAGATGGATAGATAGACGCTACGCCTTTCTCTTCCACTCTTCAGCCTCAAACTGTTGACATAAGACATCACTTTGTTTTAATCGCTTTATTTCAATTACACAAATTTTTCTCTTTAGAAGGGTTTAAATAACCTCAGACGTCATTTTGACTGTTTTTTTTTGCATATTAAAATCTTGGAATGTTGGAAAGTCGGGAAAACCTTTTCAGTTTTTGCTTACAAACCAGAAAAAAAAACAACCTCTAAGCACTCACTCCTGTCAAACGCCACTCTCTTCTTTGCTGGCAGCACTTCTAGAAAGGGTGGAACAGATGGATAGCCTGAATAGGCTACTCCTGCGCATAAAAAACACACTGTTTATTCGGCGTCGTCGTTTTTGTTGTTTTTGCCCCTCCTGCAATCCCTTCAAACACTGGAAGCAGGAGTCCAGCGTCGTGCTGACAACTTTTCGAAACCTCGCCCAGTAGATCATGTAGATAAAAAAGTTCATGGAGGAATTTAAAAGATTTCCCAGGAAGACAAGAGCTGCCGTGATCTGTCGGTAGAAGTGGATCTTGCATACGGCGTTTACACCACTGTATTGAAGGAGGCGAAGAAGTCCATTCGGGAGGAACGCACCAGTGAACAGGGTGAAGCAGACAACCACCACCATGATAGCTTGATGCGCCTTTCGATTGACATTCTTTGCTTTTGCGTGTTGACAATTTGGTTTGAAAGCCATCTTTGCCCTCCATTCTTGCAGACGGTTGGACTTTATGATGATGGTAGCTGAGAGGCAGGCAAGGAGAGGCACAGGGATCAGAGCCACAAAGATGACATCAAAAATGGTGTGAATAGCGATTGCGATACCACTCACTCCACACCATTCAGAGCCCCAGATGTCGAATATGTAGGCGAGGACGTAGGGAGTACGAATGGTTATACAGGAGGTCACCAGGACTGTCATGAGAATGTGAATGTGTTTAAGCCTCCATCGAGTTCGAAAGTACACTGGATGGCAGACAAGGAGGTACCTCTCAAACCCCAAACAAACAATAATCCAATTTCGCAGCAGCTGACTCAGGTGAATGCCGCTTCGAAGGACCCCCAAGAAGATGTAGCAGCCAAGGTGAGTTCCATTTCTGTTGCCCACAATGAAGGCGGGATGATGAATGATAGCTTCCAGAGACAGGTACAACAAATCAGTCAGAGATCTAGCCACAAGGAGGTAATGTGTGGTAGAAATTGCTAGACGATGTCGGAAGAATATGTAGAGGCAAATAAGGCTTCCAAGAATTCCCACCGCAGAGATGGTGGAGCCCACGTAGAGGATGATGATCTGACGCACACTTTTCTGTGCCGAGGTGGCCACATACGCCTTGTCGTGATCCGCCACCATGGACCTGGCGGCGCATTGCAGTGGTGTGCCCAAATGTCCACAGGTGACAACAACCTGATTGAGGGCGAGCATACTCCCATGTGAATGCGTTTGAGCAGTTTGAAGGGCAAGTAGAGGGACAGGCATCCCCTTGCAGTTGATTGGCTGCTCGCAAACCCGCGCTATTTGAAAATGCTCAAACTGCTGTCCAGTGAGGCTGCCTTTCGGCGCTCAGGGAGAGGGGAGAAGGCAACTACCCATTTAATTGGAATCTACTTTTTTGAGACAGAGAGAAAGAAGGAAGCCAAAGTCCTTGTCTAATCTCAAGGGGACGATTTTGTTGGTGGCCGACGTGATCTAACAACTTGTCAAGTGCTTGTAGTTGTTTATAGTTATCGAAGGAACACAGTGAGATTTTCAACTGTCAGCATGGCAGTCCCTTCAACTGTAATTGGACAGTGATTAAGGCAATTTGATGGATATTGGCATTGCAAATCGCCCCTTTAAAAGTCAGCCTCCTGCCTGTCGGAGACTTTCGGAGATTGGTATTAGACGATGTGAAAACCTCGCCTTTGGAAAGAATCTCTCTATTGATTTGGACAAGAACAATCAGGTGTCACCTTTGATTGCTTATGCCTTCCGTCCACCAACCAGTTAACACGTGAATACTCGCTGATAGTAGATCATGGACACCACCGCTGAAGCTCTACACACCGAAGAAGCATCGCCTTGTGGAAGCCTTCGGCTACAACCTGCTGTTTAAGATGTGCACCCATAGATACCACTGAGACCGCTAAAAGGATAACAAGGAGGTGAATACCTGGTCTCGGGTATCTGGAATGGACAACTAAAGTTCCTTGATGGGTATTGTGAATGACCTCTACGAAGAGGCAGAGTAGGAGTGCCTCCCCTAGCTACGGAGCGGTGCAAGCATTCAGGGTAGAGATGCAAATGGATGATTACTTCTTCCACCTCCTTATCCACCATCCATTCCAGTGATAAATTTAAATTTGACGATTGTCTTTTAAGTGGAAAAATTACTGGACTTCATTTTTACTATTGGATCCTCATCTGTTGTTCCCTTCTTGAAGGTTACTTTACTCGATCAGCCCTCTCTGGTCCACTCCTCCACGCATTCGCCTAGAGTGGCATGATTCGTCAGCCGCGCTTTGGTGTCTGTCACCTAGCTTCCCACAAACGTCCCGACGGAAGGCGCTGCAGTTTTATACCAGAGGAGAAACTTTTCACTGACAAAAAAAAATTAAATTAAAATGCTGCTTTCACATTATTAAAGGTTGTCCAAAAATAGGAATCTTTTTTTCCCTGCAACAGATAGTGCTGTCACGCAAAGAATTAATTGCTTGATAAGCAGTCGGTGCGCGCTTTGGTGGAGCAGCCTTGGCGCCACTTCTGCTGCCAAAGGGAGTCTGGCATCATTACCATCATCACCAACAACAACAATAACACCGCCTTTAAGTGACTCATTTCCTTTAAATCACTTGGACGAAAGCCATTAAATCAAGACTAACAAATCTGTGCCCCGCAGCCACCACCTCTACACAGGGGAGGGAGGATGGAATGAATCGTTGATATATTTTTTTTTCAAATGACATTTTGCGCTTTTCACACTGCCACCATGGTAGGGGGGCAGTGACCTGTTGAAGGCCCCCATGAAGCTTTTAGCGCCCTGGCTAACTCCTTGACTTAAACCCGTTTTGGGATGCAAAGTGATTGGGTCGTGAATGAACTCGGTGGGTTTTATTAAGGGTCATGTGGCAGATATGTGCAAAGTATGCTCAAAAACTCACATGATCGTGTTAAATTTGCTTCATAATTAGTAAAGCCGCTGATTTTTACAAAGTAGTGTGCACTTTTAGTAAAAATTTTTCCAATTAGTGCCACATTTTACGCAACATGAGAGTTCTCCGCTAAGTTTGGTTGACCAAAGCCACAACAAATCCTCTGCGCTTCCATGT